GTTTTAGTTTTTATTTAGATTTAGTTTTTTAGTACTTAAACTTTATGTTGCCTTGGCAACTAGCTGAATAAAATAACTTTGTATTTATACATTTATTTCAAGTAATTTTTTTTTTTTTATGGTTTTAGGTTCAGTTATCGATTATTTTTAGTTCACTGTTGTGGTGAATTTGTGCTTGTATCCCGTCACTAACAGCACACAGATGATATTACGTGTCCCTTTATGAACAATGCCATCATTTTCTCACATTTCCGTGAGTGATGACAGTCAAACTTTGTGTGAATTTGCTTTCAAAAGCAACAAAGCAAGTGTTTTCTATGGAGGATGATTCGATAAACCGAGTTATGAATCTGTGAGACTCAGATGGGGTCTGGTTGTGTGATTTCTCCCAGTATTGTTCTGGTTGAGAGTTTTCCTCTGGGTGTGGATTACGGGAGGAAGGTGAAGGCTGGAGTGAATCTGTTTGAAGCCTGGAAGGATCTTCTGTCTTCGGCCTCCAAACAGATCGACGTGGCGTCCTTCTACTGGTGTCTGACCGGCGAAGACATCAGCGTCAACTCCTCCAGCGACACACCGGTACCTTCAACACTGACACGAAGCCTTGATTGCAGTTAGGGGTTGGGAGATATGGCAAAAATATCATATCACGGTTTTTCTTTAGAAATATCACGATTCACGATTTTATCACAATTCTTAGTTTTTTTCTATTTTTTCTAAGCATTAAAGCCAAACTAATTTCTCTATTATCAAGACAAAGCCTTTCAAGGTAACAAAATATAAAAAGAATAATGCTGTCAATCGATTAATCGCATCCAAAATAAAAGTTTTTGTTTACATAATATTTGTGTGTGTACTGTGTATATTTATTATGTATATATAATACACACACACATAATTGTTAGTTTAATTTTTTTAAGTAATTCTGTTGTGTTTTTGTCATTTTTATTGTGTTATATTATAATTTAGATTTATTTTTATTTCACTTTCAGTTTTAGTTTTTATTTATTTTCATTTGCTGCTTTTGTTAGTTGCCATTTTCTTTTTATTTTTTTTTATTTTTAGATTTAATTTTTAATTTTGGCGTGTTTTGTCATTTTTAATACTGTTATTTCTTTAATGTTACTGCTTAGATTCAATTTATTTTCATTTCACTCTCAGTTTTAGTTTTTTATTTATTTCCAGTTAGTAATTTCATTGCAACATTCCTAATTTTACTTCCGTCTGAGCTTTTCTTCAAGTATTTATGTTTTATTTGCCAAAGCAATATTTAAAAATTTTCTTTGGTTTGAGTTTTTCATGTAATTTCCATCTAATTTTATTTTTTATTACTACTTAGGTTTAATAAATTTTTATTTTGGTTTCAGTTTTAGTTCTTTATTTCCAGTTAGTAATTTTAGTGCTTTAGTTAGTTGCAATTTTTATTTTATTTTTTTATTTTTTTTAAGTAATTTTGTTAATCTGATTAAGTAATCTGCTCCTGGCGGCGTGTGTTTGGATGCAGGAGTGCAGATACGCCGCGTGAACTTCGGCCGTTTGACTAAAGGAATCCTTCACTCCAAGTTCTGGATCGTGGACGGGAAACACGTCTACATCGGCAGCGCTAACATGGACTGGAGAGCTTTAACGCAGGTCAAAGAGCTCGGTGTGGTCATCTATAACTCCAGCGCTCTGGCTGCTGACCTGCAGAAGATCTTCCAGTCCTACTGGGTCACGGGTCGCTCCAACGCCTCCATCCCGGATCCCTGGCCTTCCGACTACGACACCGACATCAACGAGGAGCGTCCGCTGCTGCTCAATCTGAGCGGAGTGGAGAGCAAAGCTTACATCACGGTGATTCACACAAACTCTTCTGATCATAGATTACCGTGTGCTAGAAAACTGATGCTGTTCTCTAAAACTAATTCAGAGCTAGCATGAGTTATAAATGTGACCCTGGACCACAAAACCAGTCATAAGGGTCAATTTTTTAAAATTGAGATTTATGCATCATCTGAAAGCTGAATAAATAAACTTTCCATTGATGTATGGTTTGTTAGGATAGGACAATATTTGGCAACTATTTGAAAATCTGGAATCTGAGGGTGCAAAAAAATCAAAATACTGAGAACACTGCTTTTGTGCTGCAGGGTCACAAATATGATACAAAAAACTTAAAAAACGTAAACAAAATGTTGCTTGGCCAAACTATTTAAAATAACATTTAAGTTGAAGTGCTAGAAGTAAAACTGAAGTAAAAAAAATAAAGCTAAATGGAAATAAATATAATAATAAAAATGTCTCAAATTAAAATGTAAACTGGAGATATAAAAATAAAAGCTAATTCAGTATATTAATAAATACTACAATAGTATACAAAACAGGGTTATTGACTAAAACTAAAACTGAAACATAAAAAAATCACCAACATTAACTAAAATAAAAATAAATATAAAAAAACTAAAACTTATTTTAAGCTAGTTTCTGAGACGACATAAATCGTTTTAATTTAAACTTGATGTACTCAAATAACTAAAACTTAAATAAAAATATATAGACATAAAAAACATACTGAAAATGACAAATATCGCACAACTAAATGACTAAAACTTAAAAGATTACAAATTAAAAATATACAAATAAAAACTGAAATGAAAATATTAATAAAAACCATAATAGTGTCTTAATGATACTAAAATAACAGTGATTTAAAATACTAAAATAACAATTTTGCCAGCACTAATTCAGTATATAAATAATTAATATAATGTTATATGTAACAGGGTGATTGTAGTTAACTAAAATTAAAACCTTAAAAAAAAAACATTTTACTTAACTTGAAATAAAATAAACATTAACTGAAATAAAATTCAAAATAAAATAAAAATTAACTTATTTTATTTCAGCTAGTTGCCAAGGCAACATCTCATTTTAATTTAGTTTAACTTGATTTACTAAAATAACTTAAACTTAAATAAAATTTAAAAAGCTGTAGCTTCAAAATGGTGAAAAATTGTCAAGTTTTTAAAAAAGACATTAATAGTTTTACTGTATTTTTAATCAAAGAAACACAGCATTGGTTTGAGCACAGCTTTGCTCTTCCTCAGGCGTCTCCGCCGGTTTTCTGTCCGGACTCTCGCACACGAGATCTGGACGCGATCCTGTCGGCCATCAGAGGAGCGCAGGACTTCATTCATGTGGCGGTCATGGAGTTTTATCCGGCTTCCAAGTTCTTCCATCATCACGGGTGAACGGGACGCGAGTTTGAGTGACATTTCAATGCGTTTCACATCATGAGCTTCATGAGCGTTTATGATGTTGTTTATGTGCTTCTGCAGATACTGGCCCGTGATTGAAGACGCTCTGAAGCGCTCGGCTGTGGACAGAAACGTCTCCGTCTGTCTGCTGGTCAGCTGTGGACGGGAAACAGATCCGGCCGTCTGGCCCTTCATCAGATCATTAGACGCTCTTCATTCTCCGTCAGACAACATTAACATCGCAGTGGTGAGTCACGTGTGAAGATCGAGAGAAAAAACCCTTTCATCAATCCAACTGCTTCATATAAAACAAATTACTGTAAAGAAAATAGTACGCTGTAAACAGCAGCTGGATGCCAGTAAGTTACTGTAAAAATGTTTACGGTATTATTACTGCAATTGCATTATTACAGTACAATAATGTCTTTACTGTATTTTATTTACAGTATTTTCATTTACAGTATCAGTACTGTAGAGTTTATTTTCATTTAGTTTAAACATTTTTTACCTGTAAAAAAAGTTACTGTAAAAATGTTTACGGTATTATTACTGTAATTGCATTTACAGTACAATAATGTCTTTACTGTATTTTATTTACAGTATTTTAATTTACAGTATCAGTACTGTAGAGTTTATTTTCATTTAGTTTAAACATTTTTTACCTGTAAAAAACAATCCAATTGTGGTACTGCACCGTAAACCATGATTTTTACCATCCCAGCCCCCCCAAAAAATCACAATAACTCATGAGCTTTAGTTCTTATATTATTTTTAATTTTTTAACTTTTTTTTTTTTTAAAGTACAAATTACAAATCTTGACCTCTCAGATGCACTAGCTTAAAAAAGCAAAAATTGGCAAGTACACTACCAGACAAAAGTTTGGTAACACTTTATTTCGATAGTCCACTTTAGACATTCTATTAACAGTAAGTAACTTTGCAACTACATGTCAACTAGCAGTTAGTAGAGTATTAGTAGACTGTCTGCTTAATATCTTCTAACACTTTCTTTGTCAACTTATTCTACTAACCCTAAACCTACCCTAACAGTCTACTCTGAGAATTCAGGATTCTTTGATGAATAGAAAGATCCAAAGATCAGCATTTATCTGAAATAAAAAGCTTTTGTAACATTATACACTCTAGCATTCAAAAGCTTGGAGTCAGTATCATTTTGGGAAAGAAATTACAGAAATTAATATTTTTATTTAGCAAGGATGCTTTAAATTGATCAAAAGATGATGATAAAGACATTTATAATGTTACAGAAGATTTATATTTCAGATAAAAGCTGTTATTCTGAGCTTTCTATTCATCAAAGAAACCTGAAAAAATTATACTCAGCTGTTTTCAACATAATAATAACAATAATAATAGTTTTCTAAACAGCAAATCAGCATATTAGAATGATTTCTGAAGATCATGTGACACTGAAGTCTGGAGTAATGATGCTGAAAATACAGCTTTGATCACAGAAATAAATTACATTTTAAAATACATTCAAACAGAAAGCAGTTATTTTAAATAGTAAAAATATAGTTAATAGAATGTCTAAAGTGGACTATCGAAATAAAGTGTAACCAAAAGTTTTTGAACAGTAAGATTTTTAATGTTTTTAAAGTCTCTTCTGCTCATCAAGCCTGCATTTGTTTGATCCGAAATACAGCAAAAGCAGTAATATTCTGAAATATTTTACTGCTTAAAATAACTGCTTTCTATTTGAATATCTGTTAAAATAGAATTTATTTCTGTGATCAAAGCTGTATTTTCAGCATCATTACTCCAGTCTTCAGTGTCACATGATCTTCAGAAATCATTCTAATATGCTGATAAACATTTTTTAATATTATTATCAATATTTAAAACAGTTGAGTAAATTTTTTTCAAGGCAAGGCAAGGCAAGGCAAGTTTATTTGTATAGCACATTTCATACACAATGGT